AAGCAGAAAGAGCAATTTTTAAAAGAGATTTGGAAAGGAAGATGATGAGGGGCTATATTCAAAAACTTTGAAGTGAACGGTGCATTTGTTGGACTATTTCCAGCTAAAACCCCAAGAAAAAAACAACTTAAGAATCTTCTTGCCTTTGGAGTTGCAAAAGTGGTGTTTAAAAAGCTCCTTTTATGCAACTTTTCTCTTTCTTTTGATGTAAACTGAGGTGTAATTTCCCATTTTCAGCATTTTGGTTGGAAAGGTCCCAGACTAGCTTTCGCAATTATCTGTCACAACTCATGCAAATTTACTGAAGTTATTACTTTACTGAAAAAAAGTCAGCTCATGATAATAATACCCGTTTCTGCTTTGTTAGCAGATAAAACTTTATCATAGCCAAATGCTGCTGTGATACAAAGAGCATATCTTTCATCTACACCACAGGTATGACACTTCATAATCAACAAACTGAAAGCTCCCATCAGACAGCAGCACAGCAGTAAGCTTCTCAGCAGGACTACTTTAGAGTGTCTGACAAGAAATAACATAAAATACCTTTGAGCCAAATGGCACAAGGCTTTTATCTTTTATTGTATATGAGCAAAAAATGAGCTATGGCGCCTAACCTAAGGCTAAAAGCTCCCCAGCTTCACTCTTGTCACACTTTGCCATGAAAATGATGTGTTAAAAACTTTATTGCAAAAAGAGGCATAGTATGGCACAGTCGTAGTGTGCAGCACGTTGCATCATCTGATACCTCACAGATTGCACAACAGACTGCAAGAGAACAAATATGATTGTCAGAATGTCCCAATGCAATGCATGTGATGAATTTGTTATTTCTCTAATAGCCCCTGCTCTCCTACCCTGACCCATCATGACACATCTTTATTACTTCTATTAGATTAATTTGTGGAACTGCATTGAAAACAACAACACTTATTTTATCTGGCCTAAATAAACTCTCCAAAAGGCACAGTAACTTTTTTTGAATTGAAAGATCAATAGGGTGTTATGTCCCTGAACATTTCTTGGTCAAGACCCGTAACTAGGCAACCAGTGAAGAATCCACAAAGTTAGTGCTTTCAGCAATGACAAAGGTGCGCCATTAGTTTTGCAGGTATTTGGTTGCCTGGGTGCACACGTTTTAATCCGTCTACTCTGATGTATCTGGCATTGTTAAATGTAACAGCAGTTTCTCCATTACAAAAAAAAAAGAAAAGAAAAAGCAGTCCAATGAAAGCCGCGGACAAAAAGTGGCGGACCAATTTACCAAACCACTGACACCGCCATCTCCAGAGGCAAATACCTTACATTTAGTTCTAAGATGTCTTTCCCAGAGTGTTTGTTTCTTCTACTTTTCGCTGACAGCCTTGTTGCAAGCACAAGGATCCCATAACACACAAGCAGCCAGCACAGACACTTCTTTGGAGGAGAGTTCCTCATCAGCCTCTGACTGATGCTCTCTTCACAACACAATGCTGGTCCGGGATACACAGGTAATGAAAAGCACAGACGCTCACGCGCAACCAGAAATCACCGCTTGTGCTCGCTGACGGTGTGCAAACCATGCGTTCTCTCATTCTCTTTTAATAGCCTCTATTGTTGGGATTGTGTGGGAGCGAGTCAGTGATTTGCCACGGCCGGTATAATTCTCTCATTATGAGTTCAGAAGGGGAAAGTAAAGGGACGGAATGATGGAAGAATAAAGGCCCAGAGGCGCACAAAGAGCAGAACCCAACTTATAATGGAGCAAATCCATCAGTCTCTCTCTTCATCTCTGTCTGTCTGTCCAATGGCCGTACCACACTTCAGATGGAAGTCATTTTAGAAGTCTTGGAGGGGGAAAAAGGGGCTCTGAGGACATGCAAAGACGAAAATGGAGTACAAGTAGGCTTACCCCTGTCATAATGGCATGCAATCTGGCAGGGGGAGTGAGACAGATATGCAGGCTGAAAAGGAGGACAGTGAGAATGAAGCAAGGAGGCAGATATTTAGGGACACGCGCTATGAGATGCGATGGTTAGATCAGCCCTTCCACCTCTCTGGATGGGTTTAGCAGCAGTATAGAGCTCCTAGCGAGCTTATTTTCACCACAAGGTTGCCGTGACCTAACTCGGGCTCAGGCTTCTGAAATCCCATTCACTCTCCAAGCCTTACAAAAGCCAGCTTTGGCTATGGCTCATTGCTCGCATCATTGGTTCAATTTTGCAAGCATATGGGTGTGCGCGCAAGTGCAACAATGAAGGAAAAAAAGACCCAAAAAAATCTTCGCACTCGCTTGAGGGTAATTTAAAGAGACCCCTGCCATTTCCTCATGATACCCTCAGGTCTTTAAGACTGTTGGCTCAGTGTTCAATCACCACAACAGCCTCACCTTAACAACAATGACTCCAGTAACCTTGGCCATCCATTAACCTGTCTAAGAACAAAAGCCATTTCCACAGGGAGCCATTAGACGAATATAGCTCTGTGAATGGAAGTATCCAATACACCAGATGGGTTGTGCTTTATACCAGCTCCAGGGCTGGACAGTAGTCTCTCAGAGACCATTTTTCAGATGGAGAAATTAGGCTAAATTAGCACAACACATGGAAAATGCTCAGCTTCAATACTGGAGTCCATCCATAAATCCGCAACTGCAGGTGGATGCTAATAATTGCCTGCAGCGCTGTACGTGCCTGTGTGCGGTTCACCTACTTTTAACCAACCATTACATCGCATTCAGTTGAAAGCGTGGTTTCCCACAGGCAAAAAAAATATCTTTAGACTCTCGTAAAGACTACAACTTTTTTTATTGTTTGTTGAACAATATATTCAGAAATATGAGGCTCAAACTGGGTGTAGTGCTTAACAGTCTGTAATTATTTCAGGCAAAAAAAAAAAAACTGCCTTTATGGGAGCACAATTACAAAGCACTCACCTGAATATAAAAGTTACCAACTGCACTGAACGACTCACTTCACCCAACACTGCACAGCAGTTTAAATGTGGGCCACTTTCCACTGAGCATTTTACAAGCAGCAAATGATCATTCTAAATTATTGCCATCATGTGTTTGGTGGTACATTTATTACTGTGCATGCATAATGCAGAATAAAAGCAGTACCCCGTGCATCTGCGAGAGGCGGCGCGAAGCTGCGAGCGGGTAGGAGAGAAATTAAAACAATGCGTCTCATTTGCCTTTGTCGCGCATCAGTCCTGCTGAGAGGACGGAGACAATCTGGCTCAAAAAGATGTCACACAGCTAAAAGTTTGAGTCCTGAATTGGGAATTTACATCTATTATGTATAAGTTGAGCCAAGCTGAGGTGGTAGCCAGTCACTCCTGCCTATCCGTTACAGCTAAGGATGTGTCACCTGTCTCTTCCTGTCCCATATGGTTTTCACTGACTAACATTACAGCTGTACCTTCTGGCTACAGAGCAGATAATACCAGTGTGTGTACACACATGCACTTTTCTGTCTGACAGGTGTATTTGTGCAGCGTGAAGAAGGTGTCCACGGTAGCAGCACTTGTGTGTGTGTGTGCGCATCAGTTTTTGTCTCATATCCAATAGTGCAGGTTTGTGTAAACACCTGAGCAGGCAGGTGTGTGTGTGTGTGAGTTTGTCTGTCTGATGAAGCTCAACCATGGGACTTAATGTCTGAGTATGTGTGCGTTTCTGTCTCACATGGGGGAAGCAGGGGACAGCCACGGCGAGAGAGCTGAGGTGTAACACCTTGTTAATGTGACAGACACAGTAAAACAGCCACAGAGGGAATGAGGTGCCGTTGTCTACTTTGCTCGATAACTTGACAGATACAAGAAGCAGCAGCAGTTCGGTTTGTTAAGCTGCTCTCGAGTCCAGTTCCCAACACACCTTACTTAGATAAGTACCTGGCACAGAGCTCTGGAAACACTATTTTAGTTAAGTGGACCTGCTTTATTATCATCGGTGTAAACGCTTAAAGTTCTGACCAAACTTGATTGCAAACTCAGAAATGGCAGGCTCGAGTGGGAAGCGCAGTGAGCATTCTGGGACTTATTTAGGTCTGCAACAGTTCTGGCAGGGCACCAATCGATGACGAGGGACACGCAGCCATCTTGGAGCACAGACTGCCCCCCCAAAAAAAGCGACAGCTAGCCTTTTATTTCTTGGCATTTCTAGACAAACCTTTTCTAAGCTTAAAGAGCAACTCACAGGTTGAATTTGTCACAAGATTTATACTCGTTTCTTGGGGATAATTATATGATTGCAGAAGCTCAGTAACTTTATGTTCCTGAAGATGGAGTTCAGATGTGATGATGATGAAGCCAGGACCATGTTAGATTGATATCCGGTACAGACGCCCACCATGTACCAACATTAGAAATGATCCCAGATTCTTCGGATAATTAGTTTCAACAAAAATGTGAACTATGTGATTTCTTTCCTGATGTATGCCAGCTTCTACCTCTTTCTGATGAGGCTTATGTGGTCAATGTGAGACATGACGAATCCCAGCTGAAGCATTCGTTTCTGTTATGGACTGTTAGAGTTGTTACAGTTTTGTATTTTCTGCCTAGTGTTAATTTTTATTTCCTTTTTACTTTTTGTTTCCGCAGTGGATTTGCTCGTTTCTGTTCAGTTTTGTATTAATTTCAGTGTATTTTTTTCAGCACTCTTGTATGGCGGGCATAAACCAATGAAAACGGATTTTTAGGTATTAAAAAACTTTCAAACAAAACAATTTGAATAAAAACAGATGATGAGCTATTAATGCACACGTGAGCGAATGTGTAATTATTTCAGAGCTTTCTCACTTCGCTCTGTGCCTTCGTGAACTTTTAACTTCTTGTTCTGTCCATTACTTCCTTCCACCGTTTCTATTCCAATTAAAACGTTATTTTTGTCTTGTAACTACAGCAGTCTGTACATCAGACATCAAAGTCAATGTTTAAATCGGTATATTTTGATGAAATGACTCGTTTTGCCTGGTAAACACAACGCGTGGCTCAGACAGAGATATTAATGTGGCTGTGTGTACCTGATAGACGTGGTAGGCATTGGCAGCTCTGCCTTGCAGGAACACAGAGGGGATCCATACGTTGATGAGAGCGCGATGAGCCCTGAGTGACACAAACAACAAACAGTTCTCACCGCCGTCTTCATTATCATCATCATTATCCCGAGCAGCGGCAACATTAACAGTATGTCAGCACTGTGTTTGGACAGCTACCATTGTTTGCAGTTCACTCTGGTAAAACACCTGAAAATCTAATTTAGTTGTAAACTCAGAGGAAACAGTGCAAAGGGAGAAAAAGGGGTGAGAGACATCAAACTATGAGAGGATAGAAAGGGGTGAGAGAAAGATGCGTTGGACGGGGGATGTAGAGAAATGTTCTTACGTCTCAAAATCTGACAGGCTAGGGTCATCTGACGTCTGGCTTAAATCACCTGGAACCTGGAAAAAAAATGAATGAGAGGAAGAACGCTAAAGAGCAGGGAACAAACAAAAGGAGGACTTTCATTTCAAATACAGGACAAACTCCTGCACAAATATGTTATCAGATACGCACAAAACAAAAAAAAACACAGAATCCATCTACCAGTGATCCCTACACCAGTGTGTTCCCTGTGTATGTATTCATCAAGCATGCATGCCCCCAGGTTAGTGAAGTAACCACATTAAATGTGCTACATGTTGGCCTTGTGGATGAGAAAGAGTATGTGTGTACATGGCCGTGGGAAAGCAAGGAGACAGCAACTGCCCCTGTCCAACAATATGTAACAACATGAACGAATAACCTAGATATACACAGCATACCCATGCATCCATACACGCAGGATGTTCCTGCAATTCACACATACAGTGTGTAATTACCATGTAATCAATCTTAAACTTCTAATACTATTCAATTTACTGCTATTGTGCAATGTCCAAACACTCAGACAAATTACATTTTGATGCTTTGGCAATTTTGTCTCTTGACACTTTCATGCCAATAAAAGCCTCGAGAAATGAAGTCAATCGAATTGAGAAAGAGAGAGAGTGTACTTGTGTTACTCATGTTGTGTGTGTGTGTGTGTGTGTGTAGGGG